AAAAGTATGATTGGATCAGGTAGTGTGGAATTCAGCTTATATCACCTGCCTCCTCTTGACTTTTGCCCCTCATCAACTATAAACATTCGCTTAGTTATCTCGAAGGATTACATTATTTATTTCGAGCTAGTTGGCCTCTCAATGTGTACAGTGGTCAGAATTCATCAAGTGGGCTGTATCTCGATTTATCGAGATGCATTCAAGGCCCAATTATAACGACCAATTTCACATGAAACGCCTCCGGTTGCATTTCTCTACCTGCTAGATTCTCCATCCAAAAACAATAACTAACGTTAACCCCTTTTCCTCAGGGATTCCTGTCCTTTTTTGACTGCACTTATATCTCATTTTCCATTGTTATTCGCATTGTGGTGACGCGAGTAAATCACTGTAAATGAAGCTGTTTCGCATGCCGATGTATACTATAGTGTGACAACTGAACGGACTCACCCACATTAGGTGACAGAGCTTATGTCTACTCCAAGCAGCCGAATGACGCTAAAGTTTTGTCAGTTCTGGAGGCAATGAGACATCATTTAAGCGGCCGATGGTGGGGTGTACAGCGTCGCCATACCACAGTATCGCCGAACGGACCCGGGATATTTTCCGTACGCGTTATACACACTGAGTGATTCCTAGTTTCTGGTCACTGGTGTCCCTAAAGCGTTTTTTATCTCCGTCAAGACCAATTATTGGCACTCCTGATGTTCCCTACTTTTGGTCAACCAACAGACACTGCTGAAGTAGTCGGAAGTTAAACGACTTACATTGGTTATTTGGCCGCCCTTGCAAGTCCATGGAATACCAGCCTTCCGTTACGCGATTTGTTAAAAGCATCACTTGACGAATGAATTTTCTGGGCAGCTAAGCGGAGAGATAGCAAGACGGTATGGAGAAACTGACCGAATGAACTGTCCGTGTGGGTGTGTTTCATTCTTGGATGGAAGCTTCATGCTGCATCACATCAGTATTTGCACACCCAATCCGATAGTATGGATAACTGAAACGAGAGCCACTGTAACATTCCACATGTTAATCCTTGTTTTCAGACAGTGTGTCTTTGTGAGTCACCTTCAGGCTAGCTGTATAGTTGTCTGTAATTTGCCTCCTTTCTACTTACTTCTAAGTATTAACACAATGAATCTGTAACTACCACAATGCGGTTCGAAAAAGCAGTTGTGTTACTCAGTTGAGTGGAGCAACTCACTCGAAATAGGTCCGCCAAATGGGTTTAGTTCTTCCGTTTACTGTCTTCGAAATACGACCACTGCGTTCAAGGATCATGGTTGGCTGGAGTATGTAGGAACGAAAACTCTTGGCTCAGGCAGTGGCGCAATTAACACCACGGAATTTTTGGAAGCCAGTGCACTCGGCTTCCAACCGTTACTGCGCAACGTATCCGCCTCTGGAACTACACCAGCCAACCGCACGGATTCATCAGGAACCGGCAGAACAGTTAGCTAAATAGACAAGAATTTCTATGGGCGTTTGTCTGGGAAATGAAGGGAAAAGCGGTCCGGTAAACCTCTGTTGTACACCATGTGGTTCTCTCAGCCTCTCTGAAGTGACGAATCATGAATGGTGAACCAAAATACAGAACCAGCTAGACAAATGAGTTTGAGGCACACGCGCAGCTCTGAACGTGGATGAGAGATGTAGAAATGTTCTCTGAGGCCTTTGAAGATTTCTTGTTTGCAGACTGATTAATACCGCCTAACATTTAGGCATGCCGCCTGTAGCGCCCAAAAAGATAACCCTTATCTTTCATGTACCATTTACTTGTTGACCGATTGTACATTATTCCTTCTTGTTTTAATCGTCTTTACAACCTGCTCAACACTCGATAGCCTTGTAAGTTCCGCGCTCACGTGTTCACCCTCTTCTCGCTTCATCCGTCCGCTTCTAATTGTAGCCCATCGAATACAGTCCGCTGGGTCCGACTCCGATTGCCTTCTGATATCCGCGCTTAATTTCGCGCACCGTCTTGGACTAGTATTAACTAGACCGACATGCCCCACGGATCGTGCACCCAAGAGATGTAACAAGAATATCGATACTTGCAAGCCGATTGAACAGTGACTTTATACGCTGTTGCCGCACAACCGTCCGTTACCGGAAATGTGGTCCGGACAAACGGAACTTACGGGTTTCTCGACTTCATTAAGTCATACCGCGACCCAGTGGACCTAATTGCTTCCTAATGAGAAGGTAGTAGTTAACCTACCCGCCTGGAGCAATTCACCGCATACTCAACTCTGGGTAACTGATACAGAATAAAATACGGAGGCAACCAAATTCCTGCGTGGGTCCTAGTGTGGTGGACATGTTGTTTGTTCGGGAAGCATATTATAGAGGAATGGATGGACGGACGCTATATTCGCACAACCAATCCATCGATGGAGAGTGAAAAGACAAGCAAAAACAAAAGGAGGTATATGTTTATTGCTGAAACGTACAGGCTCTCTAGGCTAAAATGTGCACCCAACGAAAGGGAGAGGAAATAATGGATGTTCCGGCAGCGTAGGAGGTTGACTCCAGAGGTCGAGTTCCGGAAGTGAGAGTATATGAACAAAAGTGGTGAGCAAGCGATAGACCCACAGTGTAACTTCTCTGGATCAGGATGAAACTATAAGTTGGTAAGGTTTTACACATCATACTGGGAAATCTACTGGTGGCTAAATTATAGTGACATGGAGATGCCCCTGTTTGTCAGTGTTAATTATGCCAAAATGTTCTAAAATTATACTATGTTTATTTATTAGAGAATTAGTGGTTTGCTCCTTTGAATCTTTTTCACGTTTGGTTGAGTCGCAAACAAAACTCTCACACCCGCTCTGCGACCAACCGGACACGAGTTGCGCCTCTTCTTGCATTAAGCACCCATTTATATCTTCCCTATCTAGCTGTCCACCGGTGCATCGTTTCTAGCTTTAGTTAGTTTAAACGATCTTTCACGCATCTTACTTCTTTTTTCAGTTGAAGCTGTACAGTCAGGAACAAGGTCTGGACATTGAAGCGCTAATATGCCCTTTACTATCGAACCTGTATAGGGAAGGCTTCGAGAACAAGGCGTTAACAAACACCATTAACCCCGAAAGTTTGGTGGCGCCGTGTAGGACACACTTGTAGTAGTTAAACGGAATAAGAAGGACGAGTTACTTGATCACTTAAACTTCATTGATGAGAGGAGACTGTTTACTATTGAGTTGGAATCTTGTAGCGGTACAAAACCATTTATTGACTGCCTAGGTCACAGGAATTGGGGAAAGTTATAGACGACCACATATAGAAAGCCAACCGATACTGACGGCGTACTCCATTACACTTCGGGTCATCCGAAACAGGATAGCCTCGGTGCCATTCCACAGGGTGCAAAATTTGTGCACGATAAAGGAGGACAAAAAAGCCGCGAGGAAAATTGCAATGGGCAAACGATTAGGAAGTAGTTACCCACGGAGGCTAGTCTAACACCAGGTACATAAAGTGCTAAACCGACAGTCAAGGCCTCAACGGCGTGGATAGGGACGGAAGGAATTCCATGCAATGAAGGTACTTCGGAGGGTACTAAACAAAGGAACTATAAGGTCGAGGTCAAAAGCTACCTTTATCGCTGGTGCACGTGAGGGACCTGCTTTCCAATGATAGGACAACTAACTGTAAGGACTGTACACATGTGTACATAGGCCAAACAGCGAGAGTTAGGCACATGTATGTTGGAGCACAGGAGGCGCATTGCCACACCACCGACAAAGGAGTTTGAGTACCAGGCAGTATTAACTCGGCCGTGGCTTTACATGCATTAGACACGGGTTACCAGATCGAGTTGGATAACTTAGAGGTCATTAGGAGAGGTATGTGATCAACACCCCAGCTGTTGGTGGCTGAGGCGTGGGAAATCATTAAATTGGACAGCAGGGGGTAGAACTCTAAGGCGTGGCGAGCGATTGTAAACCTGCCAACCTGACGTGCGACGGTGCATGGATTAGATTGCAAAGCGCAACTCGACTTCCATTGTCACCATTATGGGCATATGCGTCAATGCCGCCAAGCACAAAAGAAACACCTGGACTATTCCCACTGTGAATGTATCACTGAGATAACATCACGAACTGTGACTATAATGACACATTGATTCAAATCTCAGGTAACGCGGTTATCATCCCTGCTTGCTATACAAGGCCACCAATTGCATACTGATTCACCTGGTCTGACGAAGCTCAAGAGAAACGCTACCAAGCAATTATAGCAACCAAATTTCTCTGAACTCATGACTACTCGACCGGTTCCAAGTATCTTTCAAGAATTTGAGGCCTTTCAATAAACCTTTTCTAGCCTATTTTGGTGTCTTCGCCAGCTCGTTTTTGGTTCGCCGTTTAGCTGTGAATCTGATATATGATGTACTACCGACGCGCTATAAGCTGAAAGGTCAGTTTACTTGGACCTCGTATCCAGCAAAGGCAACGGGGGTGGACAATCGCATTTGCCAATTGCTCATTATCCGTTTTGGCTATTGGACGCATTGCAGACAGCGCTGCATAAATTCCGGACCACTCACTGTGGCACGAAGTTATATGTCCAACTTAAGCCGTCCCTGCAGTTTTAACTGTCTCCAAAATAAGCACATTAACCGTTCGCTCAGGTGGGGCAGAACGCTACTGTCGATGCCAAGGGGCAATACTGGTAAGACCAGTCGTAGGAACGGAAGATGTCCGCATAATCCAGCTTTACCTCGGCCGACTGCAGAAACCAAGCCGACATTGCCACTACAGACGTCCTTGAAAGGCCAACATGTCGCATCTTTCACTCTCATTCTTGATTGGTTTAAATGGTGGTGATTTCAGCCAATCGCAAGGAACCAGGTCAATCCTCGTCCCGTGTCGAAATGGGCGGTCCAGGCACCGACGTGTTCGATGATCGTAACCAGACAGGCACATTAATCTCCTGACTTGTCACACGCACGCGGCCTGAAGCAAAGGCCAATAGAGGACACCGACCAATCAGCCGAGCAGACTCGGATGTGTCTAGCCTTATCAACAGCGCGACAGGTCTGCAAGCATGTTCGTCAGCATAGCGCGACCTGAGCGATTTTCTGCCATCGACGCGTATATCCAGCCGCGAGCTCACCCGTCCAGTCGCAGCTGTTATCCATGATGTGGCGGATCGGATGTACACGTGCGTCATCAAACTGACCATCTGAAGAGTCGTGCGCGAGATTCCACGACTGCTTACCATACACAGAAACAGTGGCCCCGTCTGTCTTGCATTGATGCTGCAGTCAAAATATTGATAGGAGGAACACCATCCACGCTCGACCGTCCACTATGCCGTCGGCGAGTGTTGCTAATTTCGAAAACGAGGATCTTCTCAGTTCCAGGCTTTTGTCTTTCATGGCAAACAACGACACAGTGTCCATAGGATACGATGGCAGCGGCTACAACAACGGAACTAAGTTCGTGCCTTCCACCGGTTTCGGATCTCCTGGTGGTTCCTTCGAGAACTCGGACGCCGTGGGGTCCCACAACTTGCGGTCACCCCTGCATCGCAATGGCTCCACCCCTGCAATGATTAGTTTGCAAGATCGGGTGATTAATGGCTCCACTAGCGATGCGTTCTTTCCATCTCATTCAACCGGTTTTATCTCTGGATCATGTACTCCGCCGCCCACTGTCCACCCGGTTTCAAGTGTTTCGACCAATTTTCTACCAATTCGCAATCAACATGGGGCGCCTCCCTATTCCGCACTCACCTCCCCGTGCCTCGGTAGTAAGTTGAATCCTGGCTCCGGTGTAACACAGCTCCTGAGTTACAGCAACAGCGTTGCTCCAAATGAGTGCCATAGCCTCCAGAACTCACCTTTTTACAATCACTATCCAATAAACGGGATGCAGGCACAGCTTCATCGACAACTGGGGGGCATTTCACCCAATCCCATAGGAACTCTTTTACCAAACGGTGTAGGCGGCTTGGGCCCAGCACAAAACAGAACAGGCCTATATCAGGATGGTAACTTTTCACTTAGCGGCAACTTACGATCCCTCAACCTTGGCAACTCTAACTCGAATTGTCCGCAGCGTGAACTCTTTCCCACATCGCACCAGTCCGGGGCACAGAGTATTTTTGGCTCCGGTTTGCTCATACAAGATCGGCTTCACTACTACTCTTTGGCCCAAAAGCAGGGTTATATTGTAGGCGCTGAACTTGAACGCGTGAAGGAGAACTCATGTCGATCGACCAGTCAGTCCTATGGCAGGATAGCTGCACATTTTCGTCATCGATATGGTGAAACCGAAGCAAAAACTAAAGCCGCGTACTTACAAATTGGTGTCCGTGTTCCCAGTAAGGACCATGTCTCAGAAATCGTCGGAAAAGGGGGTAAGTTTCTTTTCCGCCGTTAATTTTGGCACCCAGTTGAGTCCAAAGGTCGCCAACATAGCAGGAACTACATAGGTTTCTTCAAGTAGTCTCACCTATTCACTACATGTTCGGTGTCATCTACGTTATTGCAGTTCAGTGCATTTAGTAACTTGTCTTATTTAATTACATCCAATTTTTTCGATCCACTTTCTTTCGTCGGGGTGATTAGTTGGCGTTTTTTGTCGAATTTTAATCTACTGTTTGCATTCCTCGCTTCATCTAATGCGGTCGTCATGTGATGCACCTGCTTTGCAATCTCAGTACTGGGGAAAGCTAATATACAAGTTGCTGCCATCAGTCTTATATTACTGAAAAGTTATTCCGTGCATCAGTTGACCATCAAAGCTGACAACTCGATGCACATAACAAGTGATACTGACGTCGCATGGCCTATGCTCAAGCGAGCATATTTGGTGTATTCTTTAGTATTTACTACCGTGCAGTTGTCGATAACCCGGCTGTCACGATCTGTGTAGCTCTCGCATCCATCATTTTCGCCCTGCCGCCTGCTCGGATTTTCATTGGGCCTCTTGGTATACCTGTGTAGTCTTTAGAGGTTGGTGATCTTTTTCATTTATATATACAAGACTCTCACCTCGACTGGTATAGTTCATACACCCCATACCTTATTGGACGAAGCTAATTAAGCGTGCATCGGCTTATACAAATAGAATGGCCGTGTCTGTCTGATCACCGGCGAGTACCGTTCCCGATAATGTATCACAAGGTACGAAAGTGACAGGACGAATGCGTATTGTTAATATGTACACCGGTCCTGTGTACTGGCTAAAAAGCGACATCGTCACGACGCATGTCTGGGCACTGTGCGATAGGGCGGCTTTGTGAATCCAATTCTGCCAGCACAGTCGGACTGTCAAGAGTCCGTCGACAGTCCGAGAAGGACTGTCAGCGGACTGTCGTGAATCTCTGACCCGTTTGTTGCAGTACCAAACTTTAAATACGATATATATCTGCACGTGATAGTGTGGACCATGCTCCGAGGGGATTGACTCGTTTCTGAAACGAATATATAATTTTTCGCTGAGTTAATCCATTTCTGTGTGTCTCCACGACCTAATGTGTGTTAGTTTCGTTCACCTGCTGCCACCAAGGTAGCAGGTGGGGCTAAGATAATAAGAAACATAGGGCAATGCGCATTGCTCTATATTTTCTGTTATAGCCCCACATGGGGAAACAAAGGTGCGCTACAAAACCTTTCCCCACAGTCCTTTGACAGTCTGTATCATTTTCAATTGGACTTATTTCGGACTCGGTGGACTGTCGTGCCGGCAGGAAGTATGTGCAAATAATTGCACTACATTGCGTTAATTCACTTGTAATCTTGAAATCATGGGCGATCCTGTTGCGTTAGTTGCTTTTTAGTTTGATTACATTGATCAAGTGGCGTGCGCGCTTTCATCCATTAGATTATTGGCCGTTGAGATGCATTCTTAGCAGTCATCGCTACTTCTCAGTGCCGGATTATGCACGGACAGCTTGATATGGAACATCTAAGATGGCAGCAAATTGTGGTTTGCTGACTGTGGGCGTTTCATACTCTTGCCATCATCCGGTGGCCTATTACCGCTTGTATTTCAGCACAAAAGCTGTGGAATTTCCTACCTACAGCTCACGTGTAGCATGATTGTGATGGCTCATTAGTATGAGCTGTGTGTTTCACAATCCATAGGTCCTTGGTTCGAATCTGTCTAACTACAGGGGGCCCACAGTATCCCTAGCCAGCGCGTGACCAGTGATGATCGCGTGGCATCAGAATATGCTGGTATGACGTGCCGGCGTACTTCTGAGGTTTGGTACGTTGTGGAGGCTGTTCGTACCAGGGACCGCCAATATTTATCAGTCGAGTTGTGCTCACTTCTCTTCGGCATCACTATATTTTGTTGTAGACGCATATGCTTATTACATTTTTTGACGCAGCCGACTGACTTCGATGTGGTTTTAGGCACCAAGTAACAGACCTGACACTGCATCCATTTAGGTTTAAAATAAATAGTACGTGTGTGAGGAGATGGATACCCTGCTCATGGCTCTCCGGGCGCCTGCGAAATTATCCTTGAACCTAATGCTTTTATCGGGAATCAAACTGTTCTACATGTACTTTAACTTAAATCATCAGGGCGCTCCTTGGAATTGTTGCCTGCATCTATAGCATCGCAATGACACTTCCGAACGCACATTCACGCCTGCACACTATAGCATCTTAGCTGTCCCTCCAAACTTACTCTTCTCTGAAACCAAATGCCGTTTGGTAACCCGCCTGCCTGTCTAAGTCCATCTGTATCGTTTTTGATAGCCTTGTACGACGGAGCTCGCTATTGTTGTCATTAAATGTTTAACTGGTTGGATTGAATCGTCATCCAGTCCATTACGTTTCACTCATGCATCATTCGCTGTGCTCGCTCAAGCTTCACAATAGCACCTCGAGACCGCGAGGCGAGCATGTTACTTGATCGAGGACCGAATATTTGCTGGGAGATTCGTGATTTAGATTGCAAATAGTACCAAGCCCAGAGCAGATTATAATACGGGAATACCAACCCTGACAAAGGTGCGTACTCTCGCATACAGTTATCAGAAGTCAAACGAAGTCGTACACTGCGGGCTATATTCAAAGAGCTATTAGAAAACGGAGACAGATGAAACGAGATAGCGGCCACCGTGAGCAGACGAGGGTCAGGAGAGATGGACAAGGCAGTATAATAAGAACGGATACTGTACAGTTGATCAGTAATCAAATCGTACTCAAAAGTAATCTTTTGGGACGCTACATAGATCCTTGCTTGAAGGATGGACAGAAGAAGCCTTTGATATCGAGAATGAAGTGCCTCGAGGTTCGTAAAGCAAAATCCTGCCGAATAAAGGGCAAATCTTCGTGTCCAGTAACGGCTCATCGGATATATGGGTTCACTTGACTGTTTATATTTCACTGTTTACCCAATTGCAAGACGGGGTTCATCATGGCGAGCCGTTGGAGTGGGCTAGTCTGACTGCAAAAAACTGGCCAGTCCAGGAACTGGGCTGATTAGACCACAACCTCCGCTGGTGCCAGACGGTGCGCTTGGTAATAATCTCGCCCTGCCGTGCTTTGCCGAAGCAACCCTTATCCCACGAAGGGCGTCCGGCATTCGCGTTTCATTCCTTGTTGACTGTGGCGATCCTCGAAGGCGTCGCTCGTGAGTGCTAGTTGATCATGGGGAGAAGGGGGAGGTTTGGGTCATGCGGGGGCGAAAATGGAAACGCCAATGTGCGAACTGACAAATTGCTTGCGTTTATCATTGTTTAGCTTTTTGCGTTTTTTTCTTTTTTCAAGGTTTTCCTGACATTTAAATTTTTTGTTATCAAAAACGTACAAAAATTGGGCAAGTATATACGATATTTACCAACCTTAGCTACGCTGTACATGTTCTGAAAAGCGAACAGGCTTACAGACCTTCGAATCACGGCTTTTGGTTGTAGGGGGCGTCAGGTGGATTATTACGTCGGGACATTTATATCCTGTGAATCGGGAGCGGTATATGATTGAAATGTCAGGCGGTTAGCTGCAGTGGCATGAAGCATTGCGAGACGATGAAGGCAATGTGGCCTCTTCCATGAAGACTGGCTTTAGTAGGAGTGACAGCTTCTTATACACCAACGCGGTCGGTTTTAATCGTTTTGCTCGTACAGCTTGCTACTCGCCGATGTACGGAGACAGCAGAGGCTGTCGAACACCGTCTACGCGGATCGGTACGTGTGAACAGGTAATTTTTCGGGCAAGTACACTGTTGTCTTCTGCTACCGAGGAGCAGGCTGGCACAACTCACGTATCTTTTGAGCCTATCAGTCACTATTACTTCTGTATTCGAAAGAGGAAGTGGACGATACTGATGCTATTAACTGTCCGGGCAAACGCAGCGTGCAACCGTGGCCTAGATGCGCCCATGTTGCGTCGAAATATCTTACTAATGTTCTTCTAAGCCTGGGGACAAGGGAAAGTGTTTCGCACCATGAAGAGTGCATGCGCCCGTAGCGCTGCCTTCAGCTAGCGATGAAATCGCTCAACCGTGCAGTTAACGGTCTTATGATACTCCGTTTTCAAAACGTAGAGACGGTTTGAACCTTTGGGCAAGGTAGCATGTCGAGCAAGGTGATACATGACGCCGGTGGCACGATCTATCTATGGGCAGCAGCAGTACGCAGATATGCCGTACCGACGCTTCGCCGCCACGCAACTGCCACCAGTCGCGCGTGACCTAAGGATACTGCGAGGGTCGCCCGGTTCCCTGCGCAGGATCACACTCCCGACCTCCGGGTTGCAAGGCAGACGCCTTGTTCTTTCGGGCACTGGCTGGCATGAACTCGTTAGGCAAGTTGTCAGGCGGATAGTTATCTGTAAACTATCGGCTGTTTTCTGGCAGTCATTCAGTGAACCTGGGGATCATGTAAAACAACGCATCACCTAGAAAGCGGACCAGTTTACCATGCTTACGTTTGGATGAGCGCTTGAAGTCATTTCTACACAGGCACTGGTAAACAAAGAAAACCAGCGTAGGTTTCATTTGAGGTACGCCAGCTTTGTACACTGTGCCATTATCTCTTAGGGTCGATATTCCTTCTTATCCATAGATGATTGAAAATGCTCCGAGGATTTGCTTACATACGGCGTAACCTCTTTAGTTGTGTAACCAACAGAGGCGATGTAACTGCTTAGCTAAGTGAACTATTTTTCCGTTTCGATTGGGCGTTCGATGACAAGTGGAACCGGTCCCTTGTCGAACCAGTCTTACACCAGCACCTTGTATTTCGGTGCAAGGGACCTGATGAAATAGTTCACTGCTATCTCACTTCATCCTGGAGGCTACGTTTGACCGAAGAAAAGCTACGTCATCCGCGCACTCCATCGTTCAATTGTCTTAGCTTCCACTACAAATGAAACTGAAGGAACAAAATCCAAAATGCTACTATTAACATCAATTTATTA